GTTGTCAGGGAAAGTCAAGAAAACCAAACAACAAACCGGGAAACACAGCTTTGTAGCTCATTTGGAGAAAATGCAAGTTACAAATGAGTAGTCACTAAAATAAAGAAAGAAAAGGGCAGGGGAGAAAACCAACCAGAGTGAGACTGAGAGAAAGAGAGAGAAAGAAAACCACATTCAAACCAAGCAGAGTGGCAGGGCTTATCTGGAGATGGGAGCGAGCGAGCGCACAGCTGAGCTGGGATACCTACCTTCTCAGTGGTCAGGGACAGGAATGCAATAATAAAAAAGAAAAGAAGGTCTCCGCATTGGGAATGCAGAATGGAGAAAGACAGTGACTCTAAGCTGTGCTCCCCCTTGGAGTCAGCACATGGGCAGTCAAGTGTGGCTTTCAGTCTATTCCCATGGATGGGAAGGGGCTCCTGCCCAGCCATTTCTGTGTGTTCCCCCCACCACAACAGGGTCCAATAGCCAACCTTTTCTTAACTCTTTAAACAACAGAAAACCTCCAGAGGGCATGCAGGAGGCAGCTGATGGAAGCAGAACCACAGGGTGGGCAAAGAAGGGCTGGCAGCATGGGGAGAGAGGCTCATTTCAGAGGAGAGATGGAGAGAAAGAGTGAAAGAGAAAGAGAGACACAGGGAGAGAGGGAAAAAATAGAGAGAAAGAGTAAAAGAAACAAAGGAAGAAGTAAACAGAGGGAAAGGTGGACCCAGCCAGAGAGAAGAGAGAGAAGCTCTTTGAACAAGGCCAGTCAGAGTGGACAGGTGGGGTGACAGGGGACCTGTGCATTTAAAAGGGAAGACAACCACAGATTCAGTTTGGAGAATTGATTCTGCCTCGAGTCAACCCCATTCCCTTTCCCTTTGGCTTCAGCATCATTTTAGCAAATTTATCTCTCCTGCCTTCTGGCTTCATCCTGAAAGAAATGCCGAGATGTCCTTTCCTATTCTGACTGCCCCACTCCAGCCTTTCCTGGGGGTAGGAAGGAGTGAGGCAGGTCAGGGAGTGTGCCATGGGCATCTCTTCTTCAGGGTCACTCAAGACTGCCCATTTTGTGATAAAATTTGAGCCAAAGGTAGAGGCCAGAGAGAGCCTGTGGGCCTTATTTGCGGACCATCTCTGGCACTATCAGCAAATGGTGAGGCTTCCCTTGATACTTTCTAGGGACAGATGGAGCCAAGCCAGGGGGCTCTACTTTTAAAGTTGCAAACCCTACACCCTATACCCTAAGCTGGGCCTTGAGCTTAACATCTTACTCTTCCTTTCCACATCATGTGACTTTGAGCAGCTCCCTTCCCTCTCTGTGCCTCGCTATTTCTTTCTTCACATGCGTGTGAACTGTGTGGGCTTAGGGCTCCCTGAGTTGCTCAAGCAGCAGTCATACAGATTCCGGCTTGCATAACACCAGGCCCACTATACCCTGGTCTCAGTGTGGTCAGGCCTCAATGCCAGGGAGTTGAGAGAGCTGGGAGCCTGCCACTGACATCAGGAGGGGTCCCCAGGGGAAAGGCAGGAGCCGAGACCCCCAGCATCCACCTCCCAAATCCTCCTCCTCTGCTCAGGGTTCCTGGAGTGTGCTTTCCATTGACCACCCTCTCCATATCTCGGCTGTGGCTGGAGGTCTTGAGGTTAGAGGGTCTCCTTTTGGATCTACGCTAAAATGCTGTGTGACCTTGAAGTGGTCATTTGGCCTATCTAAGCAGCAGAACCCAGAAATCCCTTTGGGGGTTCAGTCCTGGCCTGGGATGGGACAACAAAGAGATATTGGGAGCTAGTACCCCGCTGGCCTCAGTCTCAAGGCTAGAATGGATTTCTTTTCCTTGCCTGGGAGTGTCAGGATTTGAAGCCCTCACCTGAGCTAAACTCTCTCTGGTGTCTTCAATTCTGAGGCTTGGCACAGAAGGTGCTGAGCAGCCTGTCTTTGTGTATACCAGGCCATCTTATACTAGATGGAATTGCGGAGACACTGGCAGTTCACTGCTCCGGGAAGGTCTGTGGGTGCCTAGGACAAGTTTCTCTCCAAAGTTTCTTATAGACAGGGACATGGAAGCACAGTCTGTACCACTTTTGTTAATTTGAAAGCTGAGGTCGTTCTACCACGTGCCCCGTGCCCCAGACTGGGGAGCGGTCTGGCTACTGCTGCAGATTAGGCAGGAGCTGTTGGCATGGGAATCATTTTTTAGGAGTTATCTTCCCTTTTAAATTCTGATTACAAAGGAAAAACATAAGTATATAGAGATATGTATATGATTAATGTTCACTTGAGATTCAAAGCCATCTCTGCATTAGGAAGAGAGACTCCCAGAGTAACACACAAAAAGCAAAATTCTAGAACAGAGAAGAGAGAAAAAACCCCAGAGAGATAGTTTGCATTTCTGTATATTACAAAAGAAAAAAAGAAAGAAAGAAAGAAAAGGAAAAGAAAATACAAACAAAAACAAAATAACAGGAAAAGTTACATAAACTACCCCACCCTCTTCCCTTGCCACTAAAGGAGAAATGGAATCACAATATTACCACGTTTCAAATGGGAGGCTAAAAAACAAACAAACAAACAAAAACATAGATGGGGTTAAAAAACGGCGAGCTTTTCTTTTTCCAATTGTGAAAGAAAAGGAAAAGAAAATACAAACAAAAACAAAATAACAGGAAAAGTTACATAAACTACCCCACCCTCTTCCCTTGCCACTAAAGGAGAAATGGAATCACAATATTACCACGTTTCAAATGGGAGGCTAAAAAACAAACAAACAAACAAAAACATAGATGGGGTTAAAAAACGGCGAGCTTTTCTTTTTCCAATTGTCTCTCTCTCTTTTTTTTTTTTTAATTTTTTTTTTTATGATGATGAGAAGACAGAACAACCATAACTAGCTAGTATCATCAAGAACACATGATTAAAAAACGGCTAGCTTTTCTTTTTCCAATTGTCTCTCTCCCTTTTTTTTTTTTTAATTTTTTTTTTTATTTTAAAGGTAGGTCCATGAATACCACCCCCAGTGCTTTTCCCAAAAACATTTTTGGTTAATGGCAAAGTCTATAACCCCGCTCCTGTCTCACTGCCTGGAGGCCAGAGAGAACTAGCCTCATTTCACTCCTAGGAAAGGTTTTGTGGGAAAGGAGGGGACGGACCTGGGTGCAGGTGAGAGGCAGGGGATGTTCTGAAGTCCCGGATCTTCCAGGGCCCAGAAGTCAGGGAGAGGATTTGAGGACCATGTTTTGTGAAAGGAATAACAAAGTTCAGTCTCCTAGAAAACTCCCATGGCTATGTCAAAATGGAGCCCCATTTTTGGAGGGAGACAAGATTGGGGTGCTGCCGAGGCTTCCTCCCTAGGCCGGAGGCTAGGCCACCTTCCCTGACTGCTCGCTCCTGGGTTCTACCTAGTTGCTGTGGTCATTTTATCTGCACATGCCCAGGGCCCTTGTGAGGGGTACTGCTCAAGCCTCCAAGGCTGGGGAGGGGACCGAAAGTTGGAAGAGGCCTCTTTTCCACCCTGGCTTCAGAGAACCTGAGTTTCTGTACCTCTGAGAATAGGGGTGGGCATGAGGATGTGAGCAGGTGTTTGGGGGCACTGTGCCCATGGAGGTTGGGGGCGCCAAGGTTGGGCATCATGTCTGGGTCCTGTTCCTGTCCTGGCTGCCCTGGGCTGTCTCTGCATGCTACCTCTCACACCCAAGACAGATCCAGGGACACTGGTGTGATTCTCTCCATGTGGCTCAACCAGGCCCCTTGGAGCTCAGGAGCCTGGCACCCTGTCTAGGTGGGGTCAGTCTTGAGACAGGTAATGTCCTTAAACAAAAATTAACCTTGAGACCAGGAGCCTTTTGTCAGGTACCTTTGGCTTTCCTCGCTAAGGCTGTAGGACTAAGGGTATTTGAGAAAAGAAAGGGAGTGAAAAGAAAACAGCCAAAAATCAAAAAGAAACTGACCAACACGTACATGTTTGCTGCTGAGACCTGAGGTCTGGGGAGCAGCAGCTCCCCGCTCCCTGTTGAGGCTTCTGGGGCAGCCTGTGGGTCTGGGGGGGAGCTTGCGGGCTGTCTATCCCAAGTCCCCTGTGTCCACCCAGTGCCCCTGTCAGTGCTGCAGCCCCTTCTCCCTGAGGGGGCCTCTACCCTGTACTCTAAGATTAAAAGACAAAAGGGGGTTATGGGTCCCTCCTGGGGCATGGGAGAACCCCCACCCTAGCCCAGACCATCCAGCTGCCAGCTCCAACCATCACACCTGCTTGTGGGTCTCAAGGAATCTGTGCCCCTCCTGGAGGATGGACGGGGAGTTTTGGGGGTGGTGTTGATGTGATCTCTGAGGGAGGCGCTGGGAGGTGCCTTAGAAAGGATGGGCCATGGGAAGTGGAACCTGCAGGTTTGAGACACCTGTCCAAGCCATGGCAGTGCCCGGGGAAAGGACAGTCTCTCCCTGGAGCAGGGACTTTAGAAATGCAGCTCTGTGGTGGCAAGGGTGCTGAGATGGGGGAGAGGGATCTGAGAGAGAGGGAGGGGCTCGTGAGGGGGTTGAGGGAGAAAGGGCCTCTTAGCCGGGAAAGGGCTTGGTGGAGAGAGGGAGACTCCCTGCCCGAATGATGCCCTGGGTAGATCTTCTCTTGAGTCCTGTTCCAATAGCTGTGCCCCCTCCCTCCCCAATATGACTGGGGGAGGGAGGCAAGAGATCTTGGTTCCTCTCTACCTCTTTACCCAAATGGCTGAGTGCCCCTATGATCAACCCTCTCTAGCCTTCAGTTTGCCAAGCTCAAGGGTGGCCCAAGCCTGCGGGGGCGGGCCCCTCACCCTGACACTAGGGCCTGGTGGGCGCAACAACCAAGCACTCCTGGCCACTCCCGTGCAGGGAGGGCGCATGGGAGGGGGAAGCGGCGGGCCCGGGGCAGGCGTGCAGCGCCCCCGCCCAGTTACACACTCACTGCCCGCTGGCCGGCAGCAACCCGCCCGGCCCCAGCACGGCGCAGCCCGCGCGGCGAGGGAACCCTCTGCAAAGTGAGGCGTACGTACATCGGGCAGGCTGTGCGCCGAGCCCGGGCGGCACCCTTGCGCTCCGCTCCGCTGCCTGCTGCCGCCGTTCTGCTGGGGTGACCCCCATCCGCTGCCGCCCGACGGGGAAGGCGACCGGCTTCCGCTGGACCGCTGGCTGCCCGTCTTCCGCCGGTCGTCTCGGTGCTTGGGGCTCAGCCTGGAGGCAGGGGACATGGGGGGGACCTGGCGTGGGACGCCCGCCTCCGCAAGAGGCCGCTGTCCGGCGAGAAGGGCAGCCCCCCACCCGCTCTCTCTCTGAGCCGGGAACCCTCACACTGCCTCGATTTCCATTCGAGGTCTGGGGCGCCGTTGGGCGGGGGTTGCAGCTCTTCCTCTCCAAGTTCCAAGTTGGCACCAGAATTGCCCTGGTAAACTACCCTACCCATTGATTAAGTGTTCTGACACTCCTGCTCCCCAGCCTTGGAGACATTTAATCTGCAAATCCCCTGCCTCCATCAGAAAGAGGAGCTCAGCCGCATCTTGAGCGCTCCCAGTGGCCGGGAACCTACCTGCTGGGTGATCTAGAATCACTGTGCTGGGACGAGAGTGAGGGGCTGTGGGAGCTGCCGCTGCTGTGGCGATGGGATCTCCGGCCGGGAGACTCGGCGTGTGGCCTGGGAGAGAAATCAACCTGTACCTAAGTTCTGCTTGACCTCCCCATGGGGGGATCCCCTGAAGGCCTAATGGAAGCCACTGCTGACCAGCCCCACCCCCGCAGTCTCCTACAGAAATAACAAACGCTGTCCATGCTGGCCTAAAGCCCAGCCAGTCCCTATGGGTCATTTGTGGGAATGAGGAAAAGGCGCTTTTTTCTCTAGACAGCCCTAGATCCCCGACCTCACTCACTCCTC